GTTCGTTAAATTCTTTTATAATCCAAAACATGTGTTTTTTTGGTTTTCAATGGTCCTTATCTGTTTATTTTTTTTAGAATAGTAGTAATAGAGATAGTGAGTTAACAGCATAGAAAATAAAAGTTAATTAATCGTAAAAAATTTTTATAATGATAATGATAATGAATATTTTTTGAACGACAGGCAGGGAAAAGATGATGTTTTGATTGAAAAGTAATCCAAATAGCAAAATAATACAAGTAATACTAACAAAAATTAAGTATAAATGAATTACAATCTTTTTTATTGTTCCAAGTATCATATTTTCTCTCTTAATATAACATAGCAATTTTTAAGAAATAAAATTACAATCCAACGGAACTCGTTCGTTCATCAGAAATAGTATCTGAAATAAAAAATAAGTGCCTGAAAATTAGAGGGTTGATTACCTATAATGCAGAAAGGAGCTTTAGTAATACACAAATCGAGTCAAAGGTTCTCGGTTTGTCATTCTGACGATGATAATTATAGAATTTGGTCGAGGTATAGGAAAAAATTTTACATGTATCTTACTAGTATTAACGACGAAGTAAGATTAGAAAAAGCTAGAAAGAAATTGGCACAAACTATATGGGATGATCATTATGATAAATATCCACTTTGACCTTCCTTGCCAGCTGTCGAACAAAGTGATGCTATTTATTTGACACAAGCAACATATTTATTATGGTGATATTGCTTGCATAGACATATCAAGGCTCAATCACAGTTGAAGATATACACACTAGCTCAGGATATGAAATAAAACACAAGGGAAGACCAGGTTTGAAAATATTGATAATTGACTCTAATAAAATGAAATTGTTGAAACAATCGGCTTAGAGAGATATGCAAAATTCAAAAAAGGAAAGTTAATTCGGCAAGTAAAAGATTGCATCGGGATTAACGGGTGTTTGTATATAATATTAAATTTATTTATTTCATGTAAAAATTTTTTGTATAAATAACAATTACAACAATAACGACAATTAATTGATGAAAAATATGTTTTAAAATTTAATAATAACAAAAAGGAAAATATTAAAGAAGGCGCGAAAATTTGCACACCATTAAATGCCAAATCAAAAAATACAAATGGTATTTATTGGTGTTTCTATTCGAAATAAGGTTTTATTTATTCATTGAGCATTTGAATAAACGAATAAAACGAATGCTACGGATGACACGAATGGAACGAATAGTACAAATAGTATGAATAATTCGAATTTGAATAAACGAATAAACGAATGGTACGAATGGTACGAATAGTGCGAATAATTCGAATTAGAATAATCGAATAATTAGAATAAACGAATGATACCAATGACACGAATGATACGAATAGTACGAATAATTAGAATTAGAATAATCGAATAATTAGAATAAACTAATAATACGAATGATACGAATAATTCGAATTAGAATAATTGAATAATTATAATAAACGAATGATACGAATGATACGAATAGTACGAATAATTCGGGTTCGAATAAAACGAATAAAACGAAAAACTCGAAGAAATGAATAATAATAATTATGTATTAATGTAATAATTATTGATTCGTAATACAAATTCTTATTCTAATTATTATTTATTTGTTTAACAAAAAATTTATTTAATTACATCATTATTTGTATTACCGTTTACCCCATTATTTTTTGTGGATCAAGTAAGTCGATACTTTTTTAGTGTGTGTATAAAAAAAATTCTCTGCGCATGTCTCGTGGCTGATAAGCTCAAAGTATAATTTTTGATTATGGTCACGTGACTAAGTGATCTTTTTTCAAATAGAAAAGACAACTCTATGCCAAATCTCATTTTTGATAGTAAACTTCAAACCACTAAGGCTTTTTGTTGAATGATAAATAAAGAATATTGGACATATAATATTATTAACCAATGTTCCAAGTAATAATCATACGAAAGCTAGGATCTTCTGAAGCAATAATTCATGACGCGAGGCATAATTCGTGACTTAAAGCATAATTCATGATACAAGACATATAGTTTGTGACGCGAGGCATAGTTTGTCAGTTCTTACTATGGGGAAGTCTCTAATTGCGATCCGGCAAGAATTGTGTATATATTAGTATTTTATTTCATAGTAATAATTTATCAAGTATAATTAGTATAATTGAATGTAAAATTATTGTTAGAAAAAAAATATTATAAATTATTACCTAAATCTAAGATGCTCCTATTTATACATAACTTATTGCCTATTGTCTACCATCTATAATTTTTATTTCCTTCTACGTCTTCTCCACCTTCTGATCGTGCACATATATCTAAGAAAATAGCTTCATTATTTTCATAATATTTAAAAACATTCATTTGAGTTTTCACTTCTTTAAAATCACGTCTATACCACCTATCAACGCTTGTTATACAATTTCTAAATATTTGAACAAATACAGCTTCATGACAAACTAGAACAAAGTTCTTCCATTCTCTTCCACTTTTATTATTTTTGCAATAGTAATAATTCAAAAAACTAGATATGGTTTCTTGTTTAAATTGCCCAACTAAAAATTCAGGAGCTTCTGACGATGATATACTAACGGAGGACTATTATATTCTTTATAATTTTGAGCTTCGTATCTTCGTAAACCATTAATGTTTTATTTATTAAATTCGATTCTACTTTAATATCAAAAAACAAAATCTATTAGATTAAGAGCTACAAATATTAAAAAGTTGTCTAGATATTTAATATACTTACTTGGATTTGACTTGGTTCATATATATTTACGTTTGTTTATAGATCAGTTATTTGACTAGTTAAATAAAAATGCATAAAATTCAAAAATATGGAGCCCTTTTTTAGTAACAATTAGGTTTTTTTTACCTTAGTTAATATCAAAATAAAAAAGCATTCCATATTTTTATTTAATGATAATTCAATAACGTGTATCTTTAATTTGAAGCTTATAAATTGTTTCCTTCGACAGACATTTCCCGACACCAACAAGACGTTTCCCCGACAACTCGTTTTCTAATACATTCTATCAATATTTCTTTGTTTTCCTGCCATGACCATAAAATCAACAAACCAGTCTCAATTTGATACAAATTATTTTATTATGTACAGGGTAATGTTTTTTTCAAAATAAGTGTGAATGACCGTTATTATCTTTTTAAAACATCGATGATCATTCCTGATTAAAAAAAAAAAAATGATAAAAAAAAGATTATTTAACATTTTTCAGAAACCAAACTTATTTCCAAAATCCATTAAATCCATTTACAGTTATAGTAATAAAAGATTTTATCACTTGTCAAATAATGAAGAAATCGATAAAAATAAATTTGAAAATATTTATGATATTGTTATTGTTGGAGGTGGAATAGTTGGTAATGCCTTAGCTTGTGCTTTAGGTATGTGTAAAATGTTACGTGTATTTATATTTTAAGATTAATTACTCTAAACATATAAACAAATTTGTGTTGTAGCAACTAAATCACATAGAATTGCGCATATTGAATCTAATGAATTATCATCATCCGTTATAAAATCATGGAATGCACAAGATAATTTGTTTTCAAATCGTGTCAGTTCCTTAACACCAAAATCTGTCAAGTTTTTTAAAGGTAAATTTTTGGATTCAATAAAATCATATATATATATATATATATATAATATAAATGCAAATAAAATGAAATTATTCAATTATTGCATGTTATTTCATTGTTATTATTTCCGTAGATATTGGTGTATGGGATCATGTTGATAAGAAGAGGATCAAAGGATTTAAAGAAATGCAAGTATGGGATGGTATTTCTGGTGCAAGAATTAAATTTGATTCTAATAAAAGGGATGGAATTAGAAGTATTATTGATAGTTTCATTAGTAGTGGAAGTGGGAGCAAAGCATCTTATGATAATATTAATGATGATGATGATGATGGAATTATGGCATGGATTGTAGAAAATTATAACATACAAAATGCTATACTCACTAGACTTGATCAATGCAAATCAGGCAATTTCAAATTATTTGAAAAAACTAAAGTAGAAGATATTTATTTTGATAATGATAAAGATAATAACGAATACGCTCCCTATGATTTACATGATTGGCCAAATATTAAATTAAATGATGGTAAAATATTGAAGGCTAGATTATTGGTAAATAAATATTCTTTCTCACGCCCATTCTTACGTTTAAAATGTTTGTATTGATGATTATTTAAAAATACAATAAATAATAAATAATAATCTTCCCTCTTCCCAAAAAAATTAGGTTGGAGCTGATGGAATAAATTCTATTGTACGCTCTTTTGCTAATATAGAATCAATAGGATGGGATTATAATTCAAACGCTGTTGTTGCTACTTTACATATAGATTCTCAAGTGGACAATTCTACTGCATGGCAAAGATTTCTACCTACAGGACCAATCGCAATGTTACCAGTAATGAGTAATTTTTAATATTAATTATTTCATTGATCATTTATTCCATCTTTCTTTCTTATATATAACATTAACAATGTTATTATTATTATTATTATTATTATTATTATTATTAATTGAATTACTAAAAGATTAAAAAAGGATTTTCTTCTATGGTTTGGTCAACAACACCATCACTTGCAAGTAAATTTTGTTCATTGCCATCTAGTGATTTGGTACATTTGATAAATTCGGCATTTCGATTACGAGTTGCAGATTTAGATTATTTTTATTCACAAATTAAAAAGGATGATGATGTAAAAATGGACTATGCAAGTGAGTTCTCATGGAGACTTGGCGTTGAACGGGATTCAATAAGTACTACTGATGGATGGCCACCTATGGTTATAGATATCCAAGAAAAAAGTTGCGCAAGATTTCCATTAAGAATGAGAAATTCCGAAAATTATGTTAAAGAAAGAATTGTGCTTATTGGGTAGATAGAGTAAATTTAACGGGATTTTTTCCCACACCCCAAAAGAAACTTT